AGGCCTTCAAGCGGATGATGGTAGAAAAGAACATCAATTTGCAGCTGCAAGCACTTGACGTTCTCCGCAAAAAATTCGGCATGGGCACGTTGGCAGTCGAGGTTTCTCCGGGAGACCAGGAAGTCCTGACCAAAGCCTCAGAGTGAATATTTATGCGGACTGAAAAAAATTGAATAAATAACTGCCTTTTCAATTGTGTCGATTTATATTTTCACAGCTTGGCAGCTGATGTGCAAAACGAGCCCATGGCTAAAGCATTGGCGTCGAGTGATTACGAGGCCAAGCGTTTGGAAGCCCTGAAACCCGTCAAAGCCCCCATTCGAGGGGTCGGAATGCCCGAAGCTCCTCGTGAGTCTCCAATTCAAAAGAAAATTTGAATAAATTTCAGAACCACATTCTCGGGATCATGTTTTTCTTAACTTTTCAAAATTTATATTTATTTTTTTCAGAAGACTTGTGTATTTCAGAACCTGCCTTTTTGGATAATATTTCAAATTTTCATAATTGACTGAATTATTTTTATTTCTGGCACACTGCAATCTCAGCTAGTGTAAACACTCATTGAGAATTGAAAACATTATTTTTGATGTAAGAAGTACTAAAGGCTTGTAATGAAAAAATGCTGGATTTGATCCAATTCAAGATTTACATTTCCCCATAAAATTTGTTGGAAAAAATACAATTCATACAGTTTCGTTGCATTCATTTTGTGGCTTCGCGACGAAATCTTGGAATTTTTGCGCGAAGTGATCACTTTTGAGTTCTTTCCATTGTTTTCTTAATGTGAAAATTGTGTAGAAATCAATTTACTAGAAACTAGACCGTTGATGCAATTAACTGTCAAAAATATTCGAACGCTAAATCAAAAATGTTTCCTGACGCCTGCTTCAAATTTTTTTTTTCAGAACTGACAGCGTTTGATGCCGTCGAAACCCCGTCTGTAAGTCGTCGTCGAGTACTTTTGTTCGGGTGCACGAGAAAATCCCGTGGAGAAAAAAAATCCCGCGGCCCAAAAATCCCTTGCTTTCGAAAATCCCATAGGCCCAAAAATATCCCGGAGTCAAAAAATCCCCCGTAGGCACAAAAATCCCGGAAAATGAATTTTTACATCAGAAAAATCTAGTTTGAAAACTACAGAAGGCAAACAAGTATGTAAACAATTATAAATTATAAAAGAAGTCTAAATGCAGTTATGTAGTGATATTTCATTTTCAATCTTAATATTCAATATACAGTACATGATGTAGGGAATATATAAAAAACTTTATAAAAAGTCTTCTAGTTTTCAACTCCACAAGATGTCCACCCATATTGATGCAAGTTTATTACTTCAGAAGGCAAAGTTGAGCTGTGAATATCATTGGAAAAGTATAGTTTATACCCAAAACAATGCAGGGATGAAGGCTCCCAATAAAGTCAACATCTCTTCCAGGCTTCTTCACCTTTCTCTTGAAAAATATGAAGGAGTGAAGGCTCTTGAGGAAGGTAATCCCTAAACCTCCCAAACCCTTGGAAGGAATTAAAACCCTGGCTCTTTCACAATTTCATAATCCACCAGATTTTTATTCCTTCTGGACAGTTGGAAGGGAAACCCAGAGACAATGTTACAATTTTGTAATACTCTTCGGGATTTTTGTACCTACGGGATTTTTGGACCCTGCAAGATTTTTGGGCCTAAGGGATTTTTGGCCGCACGGGATTTTTTGGGCCACGGAATTGTTTCTCCTCCGGGATTTCATCATCGAGCCCCTTTGTTCATGACATCAAACAGTGAAAATTCGTGAACAACTGTTTGAAACAAGACACCTTATAATTTAAATTGCTTCTGGCTTTCGATTGCATATAGGACGTTGAATCGGACGAAATTGAACAACGACAAGCGTATCTGAAAGAACAACGGGACAAATTGATCGCACTGAAAAAAGAGGTTCGCGAGGGTCAACTTCGAGCCGAGGCTAATAAATCTCGTCGGCCAAGAACTGCAAGAGCTGCTCAGGACACAATCCAGGGAAATTCAGCAGGTGTGGAAATTGATCCGGACACTCTGGAAATCAGGAAGGCTTTGGCAGGAAAACTTCGGCAAGAGCTGGTTGACAATCCTGATCTCTGAAGAACTTTGTTCTTCTGCGAGTAACAAAGTTGATTATTCTGAGATTATAATCGGAAAGTCAACATGAAATCAAGCAATCTGGCGTCATCTGCACTTGAATCATCAGTATTTCCTTCTTTGAAAACTCATCTTTCATTCGGAACTATAGATGGACGTTTGAATGTTCTGACTTAATTACATCTTGTACCGCATGAAATGATTTTGCAACAAGCTTGAAAAAATATCATCTGCTCAAAAACGAGCTTCTGCATAAATCTTTTTTTTTTAATCAGCAGTGCTAGATTTTGGCTACATCACCCTGGATAATATTTCTTCCTAAAATTCAGAATTCGATTTTTTTTCGCAGTTTTGCTTCACTTGGTGTAAAAAAAAAGAAAATACGACTTGGCGATGACTGAATAAGCAAAACATTCAGACTATTTGTTTTTGTTCAAACTACAATAAGCAAAGAAGTGTATGAACATTGTCTTGCGGTAGAATGGATTGCAGTGACGTGTAATGTGTTTCTGGAAAATCGCAGGTTTTCTGAAGTCCAACGATCTCATGTGTGTACAGAAAATTGTTCGTCTGACCCATATCAATGCTAGTGACTGGCTTAAAAAAATTAGATGAAATGATTTTGATGTAAATAATGAAATGGAGCCGATGATCAAATCAGCTTAATGGAACAGGAACGCGTGTTTGAAAATGAAGAGAGAGTAAATACGATATTGTACATATGTTTGCAAGAACTGGGAATAAAACAGTCGAGTTCACAACTGCTCCGCAGAAATAGATTTCGCATCGCATTATTTGGGATAGAAGAAATATATGGAAGGGAAAATGTCGTCAGTGGTCAGTTTTTGAATGTCATTCGTCATCACTCATCATCTGCATGATCATCTTCCTGAACTGAAAAATAACCGTGGCTAAAAAAAGAATCGCGTGCATTTTCAACAACAAGAAGGGGTTTAACTCGCGCTCCTGGAAATGTTTAATCTTCCTATTTATAAAAATAAAAAAGCGATGAGATTGGAAATTAAAACCATAAAGCGTAGCGCGACCTTCTCAANATTTCCTTTCCTCTCAGTCCCGGACCCGGAAGAGGGTTCCATGTCGTAGCTGGTGCTCCTTGGGTCAGCCTGCGGGTGGCAATAATCTTTAGTTAGTTTCCAACGGGATTTTTCAGTTATTTTTATCTCCCAAATGGGTTATATTATTCAGTTATTTAATTTAATGTACCCCGCAGCTCTGCAAACGTAATGTTGCTCACAGACTGATGCAGCCCCAACTTCAGAAAAAGAAACCCTCTTTCTTTCTGGCCTTGGGCTGGACTTCCAGGTGTTTTTTTTAACGTTTATTCAACCAATTATTGAGGAAATTAATCCCAGTCAGTGAGCTCAATCTACACTGTGTGTTCTTGAAAAAATATAAATGAACCCCAATGTACATTTAGGCGCCACAAGCAATGAAGCAATAAATGGAAGGCAGCACAAAAGGGATTTGAATCTCTCCAAACAATTGTATATAAGATGAAAATTCTGAAACTTTTGTATGCAAGTGGCCTTTCTTTCTAAGAAAAGTCAAGGGGCATTGCAAGTACAGTATCTTGCATAAGAATGTTTTCATTATTTCTGGATATGACAAGGTGCAGAAAAGTCTACTTTTAAAAAATAAGTCAACCCCCACACAACAGACTTAATCTGTGCAACATACTTAGTCTGCTGTATGAAAAGTCTGTCATACAAATGCAATTACTAAAAAATTTAAATTTATTTCTTTTTAACCCTAATTTTAAACCAACAGAAGTCTGTTTAGCAGATTTTGTCTATTAGGCAGGAGAAAAAACTTCCTCCAGAAGTCCAGAGGCAATCTGTTAGGCAAAAACCCTTTAGGTGGGAGGTCCACTATAGGAAGGGGTTGACTGCATTTACTCCCAGATATGTAATGTTAACCCTCCCACTGCTGATTATCTAAAAATGCACAGTTACACAGCATGTCTCTGCAATTCCTCAGAAAGTTCTAAAAAAAGGCCTGCTGTTTGTAGTGTGACTGCTTTTGTAATAGAGAAATGAGTTCATCTCAGGTCATCCAGCAGACAATAATTGGCTGCATTTTTAAAATGTAGCCATCATATTTTCAAGAGCAGTCTGCATTGCCTGGCTCTGGATTTACTGGAAGGAATTTCATTCAAGACTTAGTTCATTCTTTTCCAAACTAAGATGTAAGCCAACTTAGTTTGGAAAAGAATGAACTAAGTCTTGAATGAAATTCCTTCCAGTAAATCCAGAACCAGGCAATGCAGCCTGCTCTTGAAAATATGATGGCTACATTTTAAAAATGCAGCCAATAATTGTCTGTAAGTTGGCTTACATCTTAAATTTTTAGGTGTCATTCAACTCAGTCAGTTGTCTGGTAATAAACCCGTGAATTTAAACTACTGTACGTTGCGAACAAGAAGCCCAGCACAAGCCAGTCAGTTCTCCCGCCCTCATGACCCCGCAAGCGTGAACTGCTGGTTGCTTCACTTGCTATGCCTTACGCACAAGACGAACACGTGTTCCCGGGCCTATCTAGCCAGTTCGGATGCCGGTTTCAGGAAAATTCTAGGGGTGGGAATTTTTGCG